CATGTTTGGTGTGACGGGAATTCGAACCCGCGACCCTCAGATTGCGAGTCGAGCGCCTTATCCAGCTGGCCATGCCGGGCCATTTGAACATTGTTATTCAGTACTTTTCTTGATAACACCCAGGGTATTTAACAGTGAATTTAATCGTGATTTTTATTTATTTATTCTCTTACCTGACTTAGCGTTTATTAGATATTAATCATCACGAATTTCATTCATTGCACGCACAATAAAACATATTTCCATCCGCATTGCGGATGACAAGGATCAGAAGTTATTAAAAGATTAAACTTATAAAAATTACTAACCCTGGCAGATGATGAGGATCAGGAGTTAGTAAAGGATTTAACATTTGACGACAGTCTAATGACTCCATCTTCAAATTTTAGGACTTAATTTTGCCAATTTTTTCAAAACTCAGACGTAAAAATCTTTGTATCCCTTCCGCATTAGTATGAACGCTCATACCATTCTCAAACAACACTTATATTAATATTGCAGAGAAAGATAACACCTTAGTTGCTCTTAGTGATTCAATAATGGAGTTTGGTAACAATGGAGTTTCAGTATGCGAGCGCTTCTTTCCTGTTCGTTATATTTTCTTAACAATATTATCAAAAGACAAATATAGTTAAAACCGCATAGGCGACAAAATTACCAAAATTAAATAATAGGTTTAACAACCACAAAGTTTTTTCTAATATTTTTATTTAAAGAAGGGTGACGTTTCGAACTAGCGCTCTTCGTCAGATCGTACAGTTAGTAAATGTAATAAGAATAGGGAAAATTAGATTTTTATATAAAACACGATTCACCAAAAGAGACAAATATGTTATTAGTATCAAAGAATTCAATTTCTAGTGTTATTTAACAGTTTTCCAGTCATCAGTGCATATTACAACTATAATATACTAACCTTAAAATCGGAAGTGTTTGTTTGTTTTGTAATTAAGCAGACAGCTACACAATGTGCTGTGCCCACCACGAGTATCGAAACCCAGTGTTTAGCGTATAAGTTACCGTTGTGCCACTAGAGGGCGAAATTAGTGGCTGTTTCGATCATCGCAATAGCTGGCAAGCGATAAAAAGCACTAAAACTGCTTTTGGACGATATCTTAGGATTAGCGTTTTCGAACATTACAACTTTTTTGCTCATAAGTCCATCTTTCGCAGAGAAATGTTCATTGAAAATGACTTATTCCCCCCCCCCCCTTGTGTCAAGATTTTGGTGACACGTCACTGTCTTTCACAAAGTAATCTATATATTGAAGACCCATTTTCAGCCCCCCAGTGGCACAGCGGTATGTGTGCGGACTTACAACGCTAGAATCCGGGTTTCAATACCCGTGGTGGGCAGAGCACAGATAACCCATTGTGTAGAAAACGTTAAATACCATAAGAAGCTAGCTATAAATATATAGCGTGTTTGCCGGTGTATAAGCAGGTACTTTTTAACTCTTAAATCAATGCCCGATTTTACTCCTCGTCTTACACACAGGTTCAAAGATAGTTCAAGTAACAACTCTCCGGTTAATAGCATATTTAACCAAAACTACGATGTTCCTTTTACTTTTGTTTGCTTTTTTGAGTAAGTGCGTTGAACATCGTGCCACCAACTGCGTCACAATAACATATTTATAATTGTAACATTTGTCTTAATTCTTCATAACTAGGAGTTATTTAATCTCACATGCTAGTTACAATTAATCAAAATATTTTTTTTTTATTTGAAATGTATCGATCTCATCCGTCATACTAAAATATATGCTAATATTATATCAATAAAGTTTTTTTCACCCCTGTATGTGTGTTTGTCAGCAACATTTCTCGAAAACGGCTGAATGTGTTTGGACGAAAGTTGATATACATTTGCACTATGACCCAACTTAGAAGTGATTAGTTTTTGGAGGATCAAGGTGTCACAAGAAGGTCACGAAAATCCAGAAAATCCCTATCTGTTAACATGGGGCCCGATTTTTCACACTATTTTTGTTCTATAATTCAGTCAAAAATGATCGGATTTTGATGAAATGTGGTGGACATACATATAATATTATTCCTCGTTGTCCTGCCAAAAATGGTACGTGTCCGTTAATAACGACGAACATACGGACATATTTTCGTATTTTTTAAGGACTGAATATGATCGACGCTGCATGGCGAAGATATGCGTTCTACTGAGTTCCCCTCTAATGTAAACATGTTTTTATAGTAAACAACTATATCTTAAGGTTTAGTATTTATGGCCGCGGCGTAGCGGCTCATAGAATGACTCTGAGTTTGTTTTAGTTTTGTTTTTTAAAGTACAATCTTTTATGTTATATCTCCGTCATCTCTTTACAGATCTGAGATCTAATTACAATATTAGACTCAAGAGGTCAAACCCTTTCGATTGATATATTTGACCACGCCCAAAGTCTTATAGATTAATTTACTCTAATCCTGCCTAAAATAATTTCAATTTGAGGGTAGGTTGGTAGAGGTCCTGAGCAGTAATAAAATCGAATCGAGTATACGCGCGTCCCATGCTTGGTATTGCTGCCGCACAAAAAAAAAAAATCTAATGTATAAACCTAAGTTTATTTCTCTTTCAGCCCCTATAATAGTAGGCCTATAAAGATAGCCATTGAGTAGCTTTGCGCGTTTCTAGTGATTTAATAAAGTGAAAAGCGTTTTTGCTATTGGAACTGTTTGTGATCCGTAGGACTTATACACAATCAAATAAAGAAAAGAGGCAGAAAAAGACTAAATGCTACAAGTATTACGTCTCTGATCATGGCCTTGAAGAGGAGTCAGTGCGTGTATTCAAACTGTATGGTACAAACCCCGTTCTTGGAACTGTTTGTGGTGCGTAGGACTTATACACAATCAAATAAAGAAAAGAGGCAGAAAAAGACTAAATGCTACAAGTATTACGTCTCTGATCATGGCCTTGAAGAGGAGTCAGTGCGTGTATTCGAACTGTATGGTACAAACCCCGTTCTTAAGAAGTTACCCATATAACATTTTCCCGTAAAATCAACAACGAAATAATTTTAAAATATAAACAAACCGTCAAGGAGAGAAATAGGAATCCGTTGCACCTGACCTTCCCAGGTCTTAAATAGACCTAAAACCCGATTATGAGTCAGGACTCCACTGTTGTCGGGTAGACGAGCTAGAAGCCGTCGCACAAAAGAGACTTGATTAATTAGTCCTAGTTATCCATACATCAAATTGATTTTACATATAAAAAGTGGATAAAATAGTGACGCTAATGTAATCGAGTATATGCAAATTATTAGGAATGACCGGAGAGAGTTACTTAGTAAATGGTGTTGCATTGTTTGATGTTAAGGGTGTTATTGCAGTAAGCATATTAATAGATAAGTGGACTTGAAATAATATATATATATATATACACACACACACATATTTAGCTATTTTAGGAGTCTTGTTACAAGCGCAACTCTTGTTTCTGGCATTTAATTTGCATGATTTACAAATACATTTTAGCGTATAAGAATAACAATTATTTAACAGTTGAATATCAAAAATAATACGGCTTCTTTTGCTATGTCTTAACTATTAGTCATAAAGAAACTATGCTAAATATTGTACGTCATGGTTAAAATGTTGAACTTTGTACCGATGATGGCTTATCAGATTAGATGCACGAGACCTTTCAAACAGGAGCTCCACTGTTCGTGTTTTGTCGTTACAATCCTCAAGTCACTGGCTCGCATATTTAGTGTTACCCCATTTCACAGGACTGCCTTTTCATATGTAATCTACGTCATAAGCACGTGCGGAATTGTGTCTTCTGATTGGTCACAAATGTTTGGCTAAACAACGCGGTGTATGTAGAACAAGTTACACCAGTACAGAAAGTTAACCGTAATAGAAGGCTATACCATGTGTCGAGAAGTTAGGTAATAAATAATTTTGGTTAATTAGGATTTTTATGATTATTCCAGTTTAGGGGCATATTGTTCAAAGTGATATTTTCTTTCCAAACCTAAGGCATCTTGGCTTTGCACGAATGATATCAATCACATATTAGGGAAGTAGTTCTTGATCGAACCTAACGGCCAACAAATCAGATATGACAGAGATATGGAAAGACGAATCTGATCTACGGCCAGCCTCAGAGGTAAGTTTATAAAGTTACGTTTTTCGAAAATCATAAAAGCATCGCCTATTTTTACGCTCTTTTACGTATTTGTAACCGAAATATTTTATTATTATTATCATTTTTATTAAAACACTTCCGAAACTAAACACACAACTTTAGTGTACTCTAAATGAATGTTCATCAAATGGTGTCAGTCAATTAATGAATTTAAAACATCATAACCAATTTTGAGTTCATTCGGGCGCATTGTTTAATTAATCCTTGTATTTCATATCACCGAGGGCGATAATTTGAGGGCATAGCAGTTACTGGAACAAAAATGAGCCCAAATGTTTCGACTTTTAGTTTTACCAGCGTTTATCGGTTTTGAATTATTTATAGTCAACAGTTTATAATATTCGATCCACTGCCCATTTTGGGCTAAAACGTATAACAGTTAAATCAAAGATAGAGTTCAAGTAATTACACAAATAACTTTTGTATGCTAAACTATAAACAACTTTAACAAGTTGGCTTAGATTGAAAAATGGCTCTTGTCAACCATTTTAATTTATGCCAAAGTGTAAAGTTTGTGTAAATTGTGCAGATTTTAGGTTTAGAATATTGGACGGACGCACACACAAACGAGATTGAACATATATTTTACCTTATTGAGTAAGACATTTCTTCTATTTCCTGATCGTATCCGTACTTTTTTTTTAAACCGGGCGATTTTCTAAGATACGAAAACATCGTTTTATTTTGTGCTGCGACATTTTTGAGTTTTACGCCATTAATAACATGTATCTGTATCAAGTTTATTCAAGTACTCACGTAATCTACTTAATCACATACTTGTGTCTTAATTTAGGATTAAACAAATACTCACTCAATCCGTTGTTTTTCCTCGCTGAGAAGCATAATGTTAAACTTTTCAGGCCCAACAGTTTAACATTTTGTGAGCAAGTGGCGCATGATACTGTACCGTCACTAGCAGTATACGATAACAGGTCTGACAGCCGAAATAATTATCATAATTGAGAATAGGCTTAGTTTTGGTTGATAAATTTTTATTTCTGAGCTCCCTCACACGTGTTGTTAAAAGCACAGAAAGTTGATTACGTGCTTTTAATAAAATATAATTGTTTGTCTAGTTTAGAAACATACCAGGCTTGGCAGGCCACATGAAATAGTAATGTATAAAGTAGATGATTAAACACAAAGCAACAACAACAACAAACAAAACACACGTGCAGTTTACACCCACAGACTGCAAATACCTGTACTGAAGAATGCCTTAATTATGAGGGCTAACCGAGTAATGCATGGAAGTGTTTTGTTTAGTAAGTTATTGCTATAGTTAACTATGTCGTGATGTCTTAATAACAAAGTTTGTCGTAGGTGTATAATAAGCACCCAGAATAGTTTCATTTTGTCCTAAAATATGAATATAAAATATAATTTTTCTGAATTTCCAAGTGCCTAAATTACATACATACAAGGTTACAATATCACCGTTAACCAGACGTAAACGTTTAAGTCAGTGTTAGACAATATTATTTTCCACAACAATGTGCCCTAATACTATTAGTAATAGGTGTTTATATTATCACACGAACCTGGTTGCGAGTAACCCTAGGCAAGCTGAAACGGTAGGTGAAATATAATTAAAATTATAAAATAAATAAATAATGATTACGTCTAGACGTACCTAATCGGTATGTTAAACCATGATTAGTTTTTAGTATTCTGACATTGCAAACCATACTGTGGGCTACTGCCGATATATTGATATTGGAAACCACTTGCATGGAACGTGAATAGTTGAAGATACACTAGACGCGAACCACGATTATCTGTAGTGATGCTACGTGTGAATCATACAGTATCGATACCGTACATAAACCACGGGCAATTGAGGATATACTGAATCGGTGTACGAAACATGACTTGGTACAGATGTTCGGACGTAATGTATAGTACCTGAATGCCTGTAGTTATACCCAAACATTACGTGAACCATAAGTACCGAAACAGTAGTGAATCACATGTGACTGTAGATACCCCGACGGGGTGTATAACATATAAGTAATTGTAGATAACCGAAATTGTGAACCACGAGTGATTGTAGGTACACAGATGTAGTATATGATACATGAGTACCGAAACTGTACGTGAACCACATGTGACTGTAGGTATACTGCCACAGTGATAACCACATCCCTCCTTTGTAAGGTGTTCTTAGTATTCTAGGAAATTAATACAGAAAAGTTAAAGATAAATTAGCAATCATTAATCAGCGGTGCATGGTAGAATCTAACGAAGAAACCGTACACACACGTGTGTACGTATACAATAAGTTAAACATGAGTATATACGGAGACAACTTTTACAGAATTTTAATAAGTGAATAAAAGAAAGTTTCTCATCATATTATTAAATTAACTAAAAATTTATTATACTTTACTAGTATGTATTGAATAATAGTAACTGTTTGAATGTGTGATATATGTTCTATGTATAAAGACCAGTGTATTCGTGTAAACAGATTCATTTCATGTTAGTTTACCTTCTTGAAGATCCTTGTTAGGGTACGTCATTGGTATTTCTGCTAGAAATTTCCAAGGTAACAGTTCTTACGCCTCCGTCATGAAATGTCACTTTCAATGGTCGCCCCAAGGTGTGCTTCAGTTTGTGGCATACTTTCACATCCGGTATATCACGTGCTATGCAGTTTCCATCACTACAGTTGACTATCAAACTGTCTGTTACAAATAAAAACAAAGGCATGGGTACTATTACAGAACTGAGAGAACGTCCTAAACATAACTTTTCATCAGAATTTCTGAAACACGAATATATTTTCAAATCATGCATACCTGAACCTGTTGACAAATCAACAACGTATAAGCTGACGAGGAGTAGGCCTACATTTCGTTTTCTTTTATGTTTTAGTCTGATATGAGGTTACCTTTTTCTTGTGGTTATTAACCAAAAAAGTGATTTTTTAATGTTTACTATTATATTATGAATGGTAATTAGGATATGATCCGGTCTCTGTGTCGTTATGTTTGTGTAGTGATAATGTCCGTTAAATATTTTTGCAATTAAATAACAAAGCAAAGAAAAGCTTGTAATTTAACAAACGAAAACTTTTTCAGCTCTTTAAAGAAAGTAACCGATACATTTATATATTACAGTATTCTTTATAGTGCATTGGTGGAACCTTTAATCACAGGGTAAGAAGCTTGTAGATTTTAAAGAACAATTATATTTTAAGTGATCTTACTGAGTTAAATTAATATTCGGAAACTAATTTAATTTCTATATAGTAAACATGCTAGTTAAAAGTGTAGTCACAAGGCTTAGGAATATGAACCTTTTTGAAAATGTTGTTATTACCGTAATATGTATTATTTCTTTATTTCAATATTCGATTTTTAATGACACTTTGCCTCATGACCTCCATATTTTAATATAGTTACTCATTTCAAGAAAGTAAATATAAGGTTTAAACGTACCAAAAAAGTGAATATAACATAGGGTCACACAGTAAAAATTGTGTTAAGTTTAATGTTAATAATATACAAGTAGGATAAAAATAGGTTGTACATTTGACAAGAACTTGCTACAATTTTATTGGTTACTGTTGACATAGCTAATAATTTTGCAACACTGTTCTTACCGACCATTTAGGCATATAGTTTGAATTGTTAAACATTTCTTTGTTGGAAATGGCTAAGGGGTTGATTACTGAATTGAGGTGGAAAAGCAAGCTTTGTTTCAGGCTTTACTCAGGAGGCGAAATTTTGGAGCCACAGTTTTATTATTTCATCTTAGATTTACAGGATTTTTAAATAAAGGAAATGACCAACAAAGCTATATCTAATTTAGAATCACTGTCATCAGTTGGGAAGCAATAGAAAAGTATTATCATATTTTCTCAAACAAAATTAAAGCATTTTCTCTTATTCATTATTATTTTCATGTTTAACTTAATACTTCTTACAAGAGCCAATGATGAAAATATTGTACATCGATTACAAATAGTATATCAATTAACCAAGGTTTAAATTTAATATTAATGGGTGTAGGATGATTTCTTTATTTAAATTCAGTAATAAAACTTCACCATATGATTAACCCGACATAGTGGGATTTTTTTTGGGCACATCTAACATGGTTTATCCTTAACTTTAAATTATCTGTTTCACCAATATAGAATTCACCACAGTCTGCACATTCTAAAAGATATATAACTTTCTTAGAATTGCAATTAAATGAGTTATTAATGAAAAACAAAATTTCTTTATTACTGTTTGGATAGTTTTCATGTAACCTACATTAGAGAAAAGCACAGTTCTTTCTTTCACAACCGAACATACCTTCTTTAGAAAAATCTCTTTCTTTAGGTTTATTCAGTAATCTAAAAAAAAAATGTTTAGATTGTCTTGTTAATAAAATAATTTAGTATATTTGAATAAGTCTTTCAGTTTTTTTTATCTATTATTTGTTTTAATTGTGTATTAACAAATGAAATATCAATATGTATATTAGGACAAAGAATCACTACAAAAGGTATGATATTGTCTATAGGATTACTAATCTCTCTGTTTAAATGTTTTTTCAAAAAGTTATTTTTACCCATTTCAAAACCTTTTAATATATTTTTCTCCGGATAATGACACTGAGCTAAGAATGCCTTTAATTCGAATAATCTGTTAACTCTCATTTCTTCATTGAAAACCAAATGATATAATCTATTTGCAAGATTTACAGGAACGTTTAATTATATATGTTTAGGGTGATTACTACAATATTTACATATTGATGTGTGTTTGTAGGTTAATAAAAAAAATGTCAGTTACTGTTTAAATTTCTATAACACCAATACATCTAAAAAGGACAAGGCTTTATTTTGTTTTCAAAGGTAAACTTAATTTTTTTGTTTATTGAATTTAAAATACCAACAAACTTATTAATATATTGAGTATCCTTCCATATTACAAAACATTAATCTAAAAAATCTTTTCCAAAACGTTCTTGCGTGAACTACAAAAGTCTCTTCAAAATATGTAAGTAATGTATTAAATCATTGTAATTCAAAAAATCCTATAGTGATATTAGAATACGTGTCCATTGCTGTACCAGAAATTTGAGGAAAATTGTGCCTCATAAGTACAAAAACATTTTTTAAGATTATATCTAAACTTTTAACATAAAACCTTTATTATACCTGGGACGAATTAATTTTTTGTATTTATCTAGAAAACTTTCCACAGCTTTAAATCCATATTCTCTGATTTTCTTCTAATTTCTTTGGTAATTTTTCAAGAAATTGAAAATCATCCATGATAAGTCTCGGAATATGAGATAAAATAGGCTTTTAACAATATGTCCGAAAGGTAGCTTAAATATTCAGTAACTTTTTGATTACTTCATACAGTCGTTCTTCCTGAAATATTGGAAGGTTTCCAATATGAGTATATTCACTTTTTGTTTTGTTTTGAAGTTAAGCAAAAGCTACACAATGGGCTATCTGTACTCTGCCCACCACGGGTATCGAAACCCGGATTCTAGCGTTGTAAGTCCGTAGACATACCGCTGTGCTACTGGTGGGCCACTTTTTGTTTTCAACAATAATTCATTAATCTCTTGATTTATAGATCTTGGGAAGTACACAAAAGTACCCAACTTCTGAATTACATAAAATCTTTTTATCTTTTTGATAATATCACCTTAAATTCATCAACAAAATTATTTAATATTTCTTGTATGAAATTTGTGCATCAAAATTTCCATTTTTTTGTAAACCTTTATATCATTTAATTGGTCTATGAACCACACTTCCTTTTGTTGCCATTTTTGGTCACTTATTCTTTACTCCAATATATATATATATATATATATATACACACACACACCGCCGCGCGC